GATATGTTTGAGATCATCTGTTCTTGCAAATTTAATTTTATTTTATGTTAAATTAAAAAAAAGTGCATAAAAATGTCATAGCGGCATTAATAGTAAAAATTATTTACGTTGAAATTTGCATATTTATACATATTTGAAATGTAGATAAATGTATGATAATTGTTGAAATTGAATTTAAAACATTCTTGAAAAAGTGCATCAGAAAGGATTAAAAAATATAGTAGCAACGGTATACTCAAATAATTAAAAACATAATTCTAAAAGATTAAATAATTAAACATAATTCTAAAAGATTTTGAGTTATATATGAACATGTTTGTTTTATTGTCAAGATTTGAGAGAAAGAAAGAGAGAGAGAAAAAAAAATAGCATCTTGCGCTGCACGATCGACGCCTGATTAGGATCGCCAAGATTTAGGGACTCGTGTTACGCGAGCCCGTTGAGTCCCGAGGACTTCTCGAGTGTCGGAAGGCTTGACTTACCTATCCAATTAATGTTGACGCACAGCTACCTGCCATATGCCGCTTTCGGCAATCGTATCCGTTCCCTCAAGGTGAAGCCGTACGTCTCCTTTGAGCGCTGCAAGTGTCATCAATTAGTAAAGTTTATTATTCTAAAACAAATAAACTCGTAAAGACATAAGTGTATCTCTAAACAATCTCGAGACCTAAACAACAAAATCTTAAAGATCGAAAATTATTTTTCAAAGATCAATCCGATTAATACTACATATCTTTATAATTTATTGAAGTCCATTTAAAATTAACTGAGAAATATATTTTATCTTTCATTTATCTTCTCGAAGCTTAATGATAAGAATTATCCTTCTTGAAGCTTAATGATAAGAAAAAAATTTTTAAGGGTGAATTGCCTCGAAATTTATTAGAGAATTTGTTATTAAAATTAATACCGCAAGTTATAAGATACTTTATGTACAATTTCTGTGATAACAATATTAAAAATTAATACATTTCACGAAAACGACGGGATTTAAAGGCGTCAACAAAATAACTCGTAGCGACGCTGATTTTCTTCTTATCAAGTTTAGCGTGTCGCTCGCATCGTTCCGATAAGACAAATTTTGTCGCGGAGATGCGTCAGCGCTGGACAGCATTCAATCTAAACATCTTCCGATAAGAGATAGCAAAACCGGTCGCGGAAGTCCGTCGAGAATTAATAGAGTCGTCACACGAGCGGATTCGTCACTGCGCGAGGCTCATATAAACCGGCCGGGCGTGTATGAAAGCGAAACGTAACGCGTCGTGCTCGCGCGCGGCGTTGTAGAATAAATTCGATATCCAATGTCGCATGTATGTGTGCCGTCATTTCATTCGTCACTGCTTCCTCCCGCGTGTAATACCTTTGTCTCTCCGCCGCAATACAATGCAGCGAAGATGATAAAAACGCGACGAAAACTGTAACGCGGAATTGCCATTAAATTCACGTACGAGCGACGTCTCTCTTCTTTCTCTTAAATTTTTAATGAAATTATACATTGTATAAATATAGAATAATAAATATTATTTAAATAAAATATATAACAAATAATAAATTCTAAGTATACAGGTTGTTCAGAAACTCGCGGATGTTTTCTTATCTTTTTGACTAATTTGTATTCGATTCTTCAAAAATATTGGGGCAACAATATTTTTTGAATTACAAACAATTACAGAGTCGTATTTTTTAGTTAATTGAAATGGACCTTGTGATCAATTTACAATTTAAATTATTTGTTAATTTGTTATTAAAATTATTTGTTAGTCAAAAATATATTGCAAGTCGAAAAGATACGATAAATGGTGATCTCTCTCGGTATTTTCGCTGAACCAAAATCGATGTAATTTTGTTTGTTGAGATTAGTTTGAAGTTTGAATTAAGTTCGAAGTTTTAGCCGGGATAAAAATTTCATTAATTTCGGAAAAGCGTGCATCACTTATCTTTCTTTTGGATGTTAAGATTGAGAGAATTGCGAAGCACTAACGCAAATGCGAAACAGATTGCGATGCTTTTCAGATAATCAAGATATAATTCCACGGAACGATTATTTCATTCGGTATTTGGTGAAAGGTTAACGGTGAACGTTTCCGCGTGCATTGCCGGAGATAAAGCGCGGCACGCGCTGTTTCGCGTACGCGTGTAAAGCTTTGCTTCGCTACAAGCCGCGTGATCGCGATTGAAATTTACGCCGGTTCTACGCGAGAACCTACACCTGCGGGAGGAGCAGCTAAGGCAATGCCCTCCGGAATGCATTTATTCCACTTTTACATAACGTAGCACTCTCGAACAATATGATCTACTACCAGCTGAGAAAGAGACTCGGTGTTACTTCCGGCTGCTGATACAATGTGCTTCGCGCTTTATGCTCTAAAAGTTTCTTTCGGGCATCCGAGCACAGCGCGATGAGCCCGTGATCGAGAACGTGACGGATTCGCGATTCCGGAAGTAAGGTATGATAAGTGAAAAATCGTGAGAAACTTAGAAAAATATTTTTGTCTTGAAAAAAAACTCACTTCAATTCTTAATCAATTTCTGCAATAATAAAAAGTTGTCAGAATTATTACTTTATAAAATATTTTTGTATAAACTTTATAAATTCTTATTTGTGTTTATAAATTATGAGAACTAAGGATATATCATGTTGATATACCCTCTCGGTCTCTCATTGCAATCATATTGAATTACGATGTCAGAAACGATAAACTTATTTGCACGAATATTGTGTTTCACAATTAAAAATGTTTGTACGCTGTCTGCAAGTCGATAGAATAAAAATAATGAATTCTTTTCGACGGATTACTAGAAATATCGGTCCAAGAGTGGAACTTCCGCCACGGAGAAGTGGGTTCTTGAAAGAATCACGGTTGTTTGCGACCGCTTCATAATAGCGCTGTCAGAATGGCGGAATTCGCAAACAATGCTGGCAATAACGTCTATATTAAAGGTTGATTTTATCGACATTTAGATCGTGAGAGTTCAATGTCCGCTATAATAATACGCGACTGCAATGATATTTAACTCGTGCTCTTAGATCGATAATTATCATGCGCAAGGTAGGTCTTTGACCTACATAAGCTCGCGCGGCAGCTAATTAACAAAATTGAACGCATTTCGATCCCGTTGACGAGAGTCGAGTGCTTTGATCTTGGAATGCATAACAGGAAGTATTGAAAATTAATATGATGTGAAAATGATCTCGAGATTGAAATATAATATTGATAATAAAGCAGAAATGTCTTCCTTCTGGAGAAAATTCTGAATTTTCAAGAAATATTTTTGTCTGAAGAAACTTGAGTAATTTTTATTGAAATCACAAGGATTTTGCCTCTATTTTGCAATTCAGTAACTTTTTTTAATTTAATATCTAGAACTTGAACGGTTCTTTTTCTTCGCGATTGTATAAGTAAAAACTACTAAGAAATCCGCACATTTATGTAATATAATAAATAAATTTAATTTGCATTTATAAATCTCTTAGTTTCAAATTTAAATTCTCAGGGAATTTTTTTGCTAGATTTGAGTCATTATTTTGTAATAATAAAATATAATAATATACGATGAGACATCAAATACTACTTAATGATAAGATATAGTATCGCCGTAGGATCTTATGTTCATTGACAATTTCGTGTGACAAAAATTTTTCATCGATTAATCCGATCGATGCGTCATTGATTCGCGAAAATCTCACTCGAATTATCGATAGTTTCTTTTATCTTTCTTTTTTTTTTCTTTATGCGTTATCTTTTATGCGACGCAAATTCGTCCTCGAAACGCGGACCTGCAACGGACGTTGCGGCCGAGTGTGCGTTGCGCCCGACGTTATCACTTCGCTTGACCGTGTGTATATACAGAGCAGCAGGACGGGCCGAGGAAATGGTCGTATCTCGCCACATCCTCGTCCTGTTCCCGTTTCGCCGACGGAGGGAACAGCTCGAACTGCCGCTTTTCAGCCCAGTGAAAGCGACAGCGAGCGAGTGCGCGCGTGCCTTCTTTCGCGAATCGAGTCGGATATTCACGGATATTTAATTGGAAATCGCGTGTGAAACTCGCGATTCTCATCTCTTTCTCGGTTTTCCGATTAGGTGTGCGATGTAGTGTGATAATGGTGATTTCTACGATGATTATCACCGCCTAGGAATCTTCTCGCAATTATGTGGGATTCGCGTGCGAATTCGTTTTCCAAAAGCAGCAGGACGAGATGGTCCTACAACACTTCCTTGTCCGAGGATGACGTACGAAGTCGGGACACGAGGACACGTCCTTTCTCGATGCAAGCGGGTTATCGCCAGCAGCAATCTTCCTGGCAACAGGATAGCCGCTCGTGGTACACGGCACGCGTCGATTTTCTCTTTCGTCCTTCGCCTCCTCTTGCGCTATTGCGATATGTTGGCTCGATACCCTTCGTTTCTTCATAAACGACGCAAGAATTAACGAGAAAATCCAAAATACACTTTTGAAATTCTTGTTATGTCCTTCGGATGTCTGTGTTGTTCGTGCTTCAGTTTTACGTAACCTGCAATTTTACGTTATTTGTGAGAACAGTTGCAAAATAAATTGAAAGAATAATAGATGCAAAAGCCGGATAAGAAAATTGCAATTTATATTGCAAAATACGAGGCAACGAAGCAACTTAGAAAGTGTTGTATAAAGTTACACATATTTACAATCTCGTTAGGAAAAATTTAGTATTAATTGATACAAAAATTTTTCATAAAAAATAACGCACATTTTACATGTATTTTTCGGATTATTTTTATGCATTTAAATTTTCATTATTATATTTTATTCTTCAAGTTCTTTTGCTCTCATTAAGTTAATTAATATCAAAAAGTGGATTATTGAGAGCTTTGACATTTTCTTAACACTGAAAGAATCGGTTTTTTTTTTCCCGGCGTGACGTAACGTGACGAAGGACGGATGCGCAAAAAGCGCGAGAGAATAATCGCGGACGCGCCAAAGGAATTAATTGATCTAAAAGTCGACGTTTTGTCAATTTGCAGCGAAGTGAGCATATCATCCGCCCGCGCGTCGGTGATGGTGTACGACGACGTGAATAAAAAATGGATACCGAGCGGCAGTTCGTCCGGCCTCTCCAAAGTGCAGTTGTACCATCACCAGGTGAACAACACGTTTCGCGTGGTCGGCAGGAAGCTGCAGGACCACGAGATCGTCATCAATTGCGCGATCCTGAAGGGTCTTAAGTACAACCAGGCCACGGTCACGTTTCACCAGTGGCGGGACAACAAACAGGTCTACGGGCTCAATTTCTCCAGTAAGGACGACGCCGACGCCTTCGCCCGGGCGATGCTCCAGGCACTCGATGTAATTTACAATTTTTTTCTTTTCTTCACACAGTCGTAATTTCCGAATCATCCCGTTGGTCGGAATATTATTAGACTTTTTAATTGGAGTTCTAAAATGACTTGCAGTTAAAATTGCCGCGAGCGCAGACGAATCACTGAGTCCTGACATTTAGATTACGTTGTTGCAAAGATTATTTTTATGGGATTCAGTGCTCTTGTTATTGTGCATCTTCATAACAAAACAATCATAAAAGTTAATTTAACTTGTGTTTAAAGTCGATTTATCACATTGGGACTCGGAGGATTTAAAGAAAGCTCTGCGCGCTCTTTGTTACGCTGTAATTCGTAGTCAGGATGATAACTTGATGTAACTTTCATCGCGGGGCTTTCCGACATTTTAAACCATCTTGGATGTTATTAGCTAAAAGGAGAAAAAAGAAACTCGGGAACGAGAGGAGCGAACATCCGCTTGTTTTTGCAGCCGGGACATCGATTTTAGTCCACGGCGACTACAATTGCCGAGCGTTTGTCGGGCGTTTGTCGTAATTGGACCTCGTCATTGTTAATTAGCTTCTAATTGCACATCGTGTCGCGTAGGTGCTGAGCAACGGCAGTAACATATCAAGGAGTCTTGCTCCGACAACCACCGCGGCTACTCAGCAGCAAACTGCCTACCAGCAGCAACAGCAGCAGCAGCAACAGCAACAGCAAAGTCAGGCAACCGCACAATATGAAGAGGACATGGGATACAGGTACGTATAACTCGTCCTTCTCTCGCTCCTCTCCCCTTTATCTCTTTTTCGCTTTCCGACGATTTACAACACGGCCATTATTACCTCGTTACGCCGATTATTTCCTGTCACGAGATACGATACACGGCGCGCATAACTCTCGTCGCCGAGAGAGTCGTCGGTGTTTTCGAACGAAAGGCGGGCGACCTTGTTCCTTCCGTGCGAAGGTTTTCCTTCAAGTATCGCAGATCATTGCGCGGCGGCAGCGGTTTTCGATATTCGCGCATCGCGTATATCGTTGCCGGACGAAGGCGCGGAAGGACTCTCGCGGGATATGGCAATCTAATTTACGGAACGCAGGCCCATTCGAATTTCCCCTAAAAGCGAATTACACATCTGTCCTGACTGGTTGCAGTCAAGGTCGTACCGCGCGGATCTCCCTGTCCCTGGGCCATCTGCCTACGGGGGGCCAGACGGCCACCTCCGCCATCGCAACCCCTGATCACCGCGCGACCGTTGGCGGTGCTGCCGGCACCGTTATTCAAGCGGGGTGTCCGCGCGGCTCACCGAACGACGGACACACGAGGTGATCTTCCTTTGATAACCTGCAAAACTTTTTTTTTCCTTGACAAATTATCCCGGTTACGGCAGCTTTAAGCTCGTTATCGTTGAAAAAGTGTTCTACCACATTTTACACTGTCCAGATCTCTGATTTTTTTAATAGTTTAAATGCATGATAGCAAGCTCTGATGATGCCATGTCTGGATTGCGTGAAATGCACGATAAGACGCTTTCCTAACGACGATGAATTTCAAGCTGTTGAATAATCGAGTGATTTTGGCATTTTCAATTAACGAGAGTGAGTCGAAACGTTTTCGAAAATTTCTTGCGTTGTAAAATATTTTATTATAAGAACTCAAGCAATAATTTATCATTCTACATGTTTTTCAACATACTCTTTTTTAGTAGTTCAGCAATTTTTGTTTAATTCTTTTAAAAAAAGTGTTTCGGTTAAGAAATTACCAAGCACGCACCGCAGCTTTGAGCTCGCCGTCGTTAGAAAAATCTCTTATCACATCTCCTTCAGCCCAGATCCTCTCAGATCTTTTAATGGCCTGAATGCATGGTAGCAAAATGATGATGGCTAAGTCTAGACTATGTGGAGTACGTGATAAGACGCTTTCCTAATGACGGCGAACTTAAAGCTGCTGCATGATTAGACAATTTTCCGACTAAATAAATCACAAAATTTAAATTATTGAAAGAAGTGTATTGAAACAAATAATGATTGTAGAAAAATAAGTTTGAATTTCTATAATAAACACATATTTTTTAATCGACTCTCCGGAAGCTTGTTGACTCGTTTTTGTATGATTAAAGTATTTTGCATCATCTCACTGAATAACGTGACGCAGGAAAGTGTGAATATCTCTCAAGAAGAGCGATATCTTTAGTTAAATGTGTTGAAATATATTCTTACGAAATCGTTAATTTAATGATGTTGGTATTTGATAGCAGTAGGCTAATAAGGATTAAAAGCAATATGTTTCTCTAGTTCTCTTCCGATTCTCCGTAGTGGAAGTTTTGATTTCCGTTTCCCCTTGCATCATTTCCTCTTCCCTTCCAAAGTAGTCGCCAAAAAATTCGTGATTTAGCGATATCAATTAACCAACTTCGTTCTCTTCTTTTCCTCTTTTTCGCTCTTCCGCGTGGCGAATCTTCGTGCGAGGCTCGGCGAGAAGATATTTATCGCGGCGTCGAAAATAAAATTGTGGACACGAGGCAGGACGGGGAATTCGCTCCGTCTGTTGCATTGCTGTTCCGCTCGAAATAACTCGAATGCATCGCGCGATCGGATTAGCAATGACATTTTTCCAACGGCTTTTCGCGGACGGCTTTTACAAGATTCATGGATGCTCGATAAATTAGATATCTGGAACAGTTGTCGGACAAGGACCGGTCTAAATATACAAGTGTGGTGACAAGGATAAGATAAGCTGTCCGTTCACAGCTGCATAAATTCACTTACTCTTTACAAAAGTATCGTGGATCATCGGAAGAATGTATTAAGTTAATATTTTTTTTTGCTTCGTGATTTGCGTAGATTAATATGACGATGTTCCAACACCCTGTGTGATGATACGATGACTTGTGGTTTAAAATCAAATTATTGTGGAAATATATGTACACACATATACAGCGAGATAGAAAACAATTTGTGTCTAGAACTATACATAGATAATCGATTATGTTCAATGTGTTAGTTTAGCTGGCTGGTCCTACGCTTTGCATTAACAATGCGTTGGGTGTCATTCGTAGCTAATTCCAATTTTCGTTTGCGCAGAACCATGACCAGAGAAGACGTAGCGATAATTCAAGAACGCAGAATGTCCCAACAGAGTCAAGGTATTACATTTTGCGACGTAATAAGTGATAATATAACAAACACAATTCAAATATGACAATCATAGTATGGAATAATTATACGACAAAGATTTTATAATTACATATATAATACTTAAATTACAAAAACATCACTATGCGTAACGAATATTGAGTGTACAGAAATAATAGGTGACGATAAACAATTGAAACTACATAGATAAAATTTCCTTGCAGCAACCAGCAGTCCCAATTGTGCTCCTATATCACCGAGCTGCCCGCCAGCTGCGCAACAGCAACAGCAGCAACAACAGCAGCAACAGCAGCAGCAATCCGGTCATCATCGAACTTCGTCGGCGCCGCCAGCGCCGCAGCCGCCGCAGCAGCAGCCACCAGCACTACAGGCCATGCAAGGTGTCGCTGGCATGCCTCCTGCCGCTCCGCAGATGTCGGCCGGACACACCGGTCCTCCTGTACCGCCGCCACAGCCACCGATCGCGCCTCCCGCGCCGCCGTGTCCGCCGGGCGATGATGAATTTCAACTCGTCCGCGATACCGGCGCCACCGATGATGATGAACCAGTACGCGCAATCGCCGTCTCAATCGAATCTCGCGAGTCAACAGTCTCATCAGCAGCCCATTTACGTGACTAATCAGACAAATCAGTACGGCGCTACGCCCGCGAGCAATCAGTACGCGAGCGCCGCCGGTGGTACCGGAAGCGGCGCGAGCACCGTCGGCCAGAGTCCGAGCCAATATCCACCCACCGGCAGCCAGAACAGTTTCTACGGTACTAACAGTCAGACGAGCAATTACGCCGCGGGTGGACAAGTGAACGCGGGCCAGTACGGAAGTCAGCCGAGCGGTAATCAGTACGGAAGTAGTAGCTCGATAAATCAGTACGCCACCGGTCCGCCGCCTGGTCCGGCAAGCCAGTACGCGGTCGCGCAGCCAGGTCAATCTCAGTACGTGTCGCAAGCGCAAGCACAGTATGCCGGCACTAGCGGCCAGGTGCAGACGCCTGCCACCGCAGGCGCCACAAATCCGTATGGCACACCATCGAATTCGGTGAATCAATATGCCGCCGGCGGGCATCACGCGGTTAGCGCTAACGCGTACGTTCCCATCGCCGGCGCTGGCGGTCCACCGCCGCCCCCGATGGTGCCGCTGGGTGGACCAGCGGCGCCGCCGCCGCCGCCGCCACCACCTGTACCCAACGCTAGCAATTCTGCCGGCTCATCTGCCAGTTCCGATTCCGCACCTGACACCAACTCGTTGGCTGCCGCTCTTCAGGCTCGTCTCAAAAAGAAACAGGTAATCTTTTTTAATCTTCCAACGAGTGTGGAATCATATTTTGCAAGAGTGCGAAACACGAAACGAAATTGTTAATATAGTTTTTTCAATACGTGACAAGAAGAATGCGTAAATAAAAATAGTAATGGATATTTTTTGCCAACAGCAACAGTCGCAGCCGGTGGAGAATAGTGGTTCGAGCACTAGCAGTAGCGGCAGCGGAAGTAGCGGGGGCAACTACGGCACTTTAGGGAGAGGCGGAGGCGGCGGAATGGCTTCCATGATGGACGAGATGGCCAAGACTTTGGCGCGCCGGCGAGCCGCTGCTGAAAAGAAGCAACCTGAACAACCACCGGTACGTGAACATCAATCGCGCAACTTGGACATTTGACGAACGTTTCGCAAATCGAGAAGAGAAAGTTAATCCAACAATTTTTTTTCACCAGGAACCGGAAAGCTCGCCAGACAAAAAATCCTGGGACAAGAGCAATGCATCGAACAATAAGTTCTCGAATGGCGCCGAGTCACCGAAATCAGTGCGCAAGAGGTTTGGTTCGGCCTCGGAGGACACGCTTCTCAAGGTAAACGGAGTCAATGATGGAGCCTCACTCACTGCACAAGAGATGGAGGCCTTCAAGGCGGAGATAATTAAAGAAGTGCGCAAAGAATTCCAGAAGATGAAGCAGGAGATAATAGATGGTATGAAATATTATCCGAATTGAGCGATTTCTTGTGATTAACGGAAAAATATGAAAAATGCAAAATTATTGTATTTATATGAGATATTTTATGTTTTCAGTCGTGAGAACAGAACTGAACAAGAGATAAAGAAGACGATAAGGAGAGAAAAGGAGACAGAGCTGCATTCTCAAAGCCGAAAGGAATGAGACAGCAACAACAAAAAAAAAAAAGAAAACAGAAAAAACGCGCTTGATATCGGAACGATATCATCGAGATCCACATACAGGTTTTTACAACATATTTGCGAGAATGTAGTATGGTTACATTCATGTATATCGGACATTTGTGTGTAAGTAAATTAATCTAACTTAGCATCTTAAGTGGCCGTAACTCTTTCGTTATTTACTATACGAATAACAATCGTAACGAAACGTTGAATCAGTTGAGTTTCCTTTGATACGGTTCATGGGTCAATTTGTTTTACACGCACAAGGGATTACGAGAGACGCCCACGAGGGGGGTTCCGATCGACGGAGACGTTTCAATGAGAATATAAAATAAGTACACGCACAATGAGATACTATTATATCGCTTCGTAGATTAAAGGGATATCGATAAAGACCAAAAAAAAAAAAAAATAGTGTACTATTTATAATAATAATATCGGTCTCTATGCATAAATATCTACACTAATCCACGTTTCGAGAAGCGCTCGTTTTATAGTCAAGGTCGATCGAGCGAGACGTTTTGTAATTAAGATCAATATTATAATCGATCGGACGAGTTTTTTACGATGAGTTTCAGCGTGGCGATTAGTTAATTCGCGAGAAACTCAATTATTTCAACGTCCAACGTTACGCAACGCATATTTTTTACTGCATATGGTCAGGCAGGGTTTCTAAAACCTCTTGTACGCTGATACTATTTCTTTATATATTTTCATATTTTTTTTTTTTTTTTTACTATAAGAACGATCTCATTGTAGAACATTCTATGCAGAATTCCTTTTGTGTCAATGTCGTGGCATGTGTTTTTCCTCTGCATTTCCGTATTTGTCTTTTATACTTCGTCGGCGCGCGATGTCACACGTTGCCGTCTATTTTTAATGATTTACGCGAAGCGCATTGCCTTGTCGATTTCTTCGTTGTGACGCGAATCGATCTCTGTATGAAAATATAACAGGCGAGTATACATTCCAAGAGACACACATACATACACGCACACATATACAACCTCGTTCCCCGATGCCGCGTTAATCTACTAGATACATTGAAACACTGTAAATAGCAATAAACGACGATAGACGGATGCCACGATCGTTGATTGTGAAATTCTCGAGGACACGTATATTGCGCTTTAAACGATATATAGTTAAGGTATCTCCGTGTTAATCCATTCCCGGATATCTCGAATATGCTAAATCGCGATTTGACGCACGGTCTGATACGGCGATTTACTCTCCAAGGAAGTTACTGTCGTACATCGAAGTGTACTTTTCGGTTGGATGGAGATTTTCTTGAAATCTGGCACCTAATCGTAGTTTCATGGCTTTCAATATGGTTAGTAACGGCTTCTATATAGTTTTCATTTAACGAGCACCTCTGTTCACGCAATTCGGTTCGCTCGCATACACGAATAAGCTGCTAATCGTTCGTACGATACATAGTTCACTTTTTCTATTGTCCGCATCATTTTTTCTCGAGGCTATTTACTTTATTTTATGCTCTCGGCACCTGTTACCGCGATCGACCAAGCTTTTACGCGAAGAGCCCTAGCTTTTGCCACGCAATCGATTCATCAGTTCGAATGTGATATGATTCGTTGTCGCGTTACGGTCGCGAACGATTATTACTATCAATATTGATAGTGAAAAAGAAAAATGTGGAAAATGCGTATATCGGCCATCGCAGTGAACACTTGCGGTAAATTACGCTAAATTAACTTTTGATATCAAATATTTTTTTTCTGGTAAAAGAAATCAATATTTATTATTGAGTGGAAAAATAAAACTAGCGCACAATTAATCACTGCAACTTTGTAGCACAATTTTATCGCTAAAAAATTATTTGACTTGTAAAAGACCGGCTTTTGTAAATTGCCTTTTTTCTTATTCGAGATCGGACGCACAATCTTATCAATTTCCTGCAAGTGTTCGATTAATGTCCGGTAAACGCGTTCGTCACGAGTTAAGTGGAATAAATACGAGTATCTATGAATTTTTATCTCGTAAAGTCCATTTTGTACGCAATCTTTCGGTCGGTGGCCGTCTACCGACTCGCGTGACTTTCTTCGAAGGCTGAATTTTACACAGTTTTTTATTGTACGACGCTTCACCGCGCTTTATTACGTACGCATCTCTCGACACGCTTGTTTACGATACACGTAATCGTAAGAAACCTTTGATAATCATCTCGAAGAGGAATTAGACGTAAAAGCGGAGTTTCTAGTCGGAGAGATAATTTCGTAAGAAAAGATATACAATTTTGATAACCAGCGCTGGTAAATCTAATCTTCGACACCTACGACGTCGTACGTGTTTATATCGAACAATATTCATGTTTAATTTTTCACTCGAAAAATAATTGGCTATAATTTTATCTAAATAATTCGATACGGCCGCAGTAAGGAAACTGGAGGCTTAACATTTATTTCCTTACTGTACCTTTTTCGCTAGATAACGGTCTGCGTTTTCTCTCGACGTATGTAATATGTATGGCTGGGGTGCGTCGCACACAAATATTCTCGCGGGTAACCGAGATAGAGATAGAGAGAGAGAGAGAGAGAGACACGTATGCGATCTATGGGCGCGCGAAGAGTTGCGCGCGATTATCTTTTTATACACTTCTTTTTCCTCTCCTTTTCATTACCTCCCCTCCTTTTACACTGCGTATTTTCTACACCTCATTCCTTTGTACATATAAATTCGTCTGGTGTGGATCTTCCAATATGATGTATTTATTTTATTCATCTTTCCTTCTCTTCGTTTTACCTCTTAATGAAAAGTACATCGTAATTAGTGTGTGAGAGAGGTGGAAAATGTGGGCAATATCGGAGGGCGAAGGTTTTTCTTCGAATGTTCCTCTAGCTGCAATTTCAGAGCTCGTTTTCTTACCGTCGCTTACCTCCTACGTTTTGCCTTTCGTTTATCTTTTCGCTCTTCTCGATATACGATGTTCCACGTCACCCGCTCTTTATCGTAATGACAGAAATCTTCACTGCATTTCGAGACGATTTTTCCTCGAAGATTATTTTAAGGAAAGCCATTATTCGCCACTATTTTTAACATTCAACGTTAAATATCTTGATTATTAAGAAAACTTTGAGTTAATTTTTAACAAATTAAGTCTGAAATGAAGTACAGAGATAGATAGATAGATAGATAGATAGATAGAGAGAGAGAGAGAGAGAGAGAGAGAGAGAGAGAGAGAGAGAGAAAGCAAGTATTATATATTAAATAAAAATAAATTATATATATAAAAAATTTTTTTTTAAGTATATTATTATATTTATATTATATTTATTTGTGTGTGTGTGCGCGCGCGCGCGCTTCTGAAGTTTTATTTGCGAAGAGCTTTTGAATGATTTGTAATTCGAAAATTACTAATGTATCGACATTTTAATTATTAAAAGAGGAAGGATCTGCTCAAAATTGCTCGTGGAATCTGTTGTTAAAGCTAAGCGCAGTGCGTCGTGAGACACCGTGTGTATTTTACACGCCTAACCGCGTGTTGACAGCATTCACTTTTCTTTTTTTTTTTTCACTTGACCGTCGCGCTCGTTAATGTATCGCACTTTTATCGCGTCGTTTAGAGACTCCGCGCGATACTTGTGACTACTGTCGAAGCTGCGATATGCATATTAGCCGCACATACTTTTTTTTTGTTGCACTGCAAAACGTATTACGGCAAAACTATAATTTTCATATGGTAGTCTTATAAGACGCGAGTATTAAGAGTGTTTGTGTTAAGGTTGAAAAAAAGAATTCTTTGAGAGGAGAGAGAGAGAGAGCGGGTCGAGGTGGCTTGGTGGAGGACAGTGATAAACGGTCGTCGCGATCTCGAGGCCATTAATAAGCACTTGTGTATTGCGAGATCGCTCCGACCGATCGATCGAATATACTTGAGCGATTCTAAATCCGACGCATTTAAAAAACGAGTGAAACCAGCGACGAGGATTCTCAGTGACTTTTGTCCACTTCGTTCCGCTTATTTCTTCCAAATCTCCATTGATCCCAAAATTGCGCATATACATTTTTCCGTCGCACACACACGAATACGGAGTGTCCTGCATTCCCACATTTTCTCATTTTTCTTAATTAAAAAAATTTTATTTATTATTTCGCGAGCGAGAAACAAATATGTAAATCATAAAAAGCCGACGATTTTAATATTAAGATTAAGATTAATGTTGCGAAGAATTAATTTAAGTAATTAACTGAAGTATGATTAATCTGTACAATACAATTAATTAATTGACGCGCGACAATGCAATTTCGCGGAAACTCGCACTTGTATTTTTTACTTGATGTTTGTACAATGTCTGTTTATTGACGGTTTTTGTCGTCGGCTTCACTCGTGCGAGTGGAAACGTTCGTGTTTAGGCTGTTCTTAGGAACGTGCGTTGGAATGACTGCGAATTTAACGTGTGTGAAGCATATATTAATAATAATTACGCCGTAAGCGTCACAGCGATACCGCGAGGAGCTCCGTTCCCTCGCGATATCCTTCACTATTAAGAGTCGCTTCGTCCTGCCTTCGATATGCGCGATCTATGTGAAAGAATCGTTCGAGTTCACATTAGAACACGCGAATTGGGACGGGCGATTTGCACACTTGTGGTTTTCTAGTTGTAACGATCAAAATGCATTCTCAAAATGCAGTTTCTGGATAAATTTGAAATAAAATTCGCGTAAGACACGAGCGAAACCGATTTTCTTCATGTAAGAATAAGTCAATAATTATTGAATGCACAAAGCGTAATCACGAGATGACTAGATCTGAGCTGTTTGAACTTTCGTATCAATAAGAGGAATGGAAAGCGATATATCAATGAGTTCGAATGTTGATGACAGGGCATTCCGAAGATAGACGAATGTCTTTTTCTTAACAAAGTTCAAGCTCATTTAATCTCAATGCTGTTAATCTATATTTAAATCGAACAAAAGTGATTGAATTGGAACAATTGTTAACTGGATATACATAATCCAATGTCCCGCTAGTGTTTCGCAATGGTAAGCGAAACATTAATCTAATGTTTCGCAATGGTAAGCGAAACATTAATCTAATGTTAATTTAATGTCCCTTTTATCAATCGCTTATAATTCAGAAACTGTCGACGTTTTCACTGAAAACAAAATCTACTCTAAATTCATCCGTTATTAAAGAGACATCCGTTTGCCCTGGAACATCCTGTATAATAATCTCTGCGTTTATACTTTGCAAGGGAAAAACGATCCGTATAAGATACACTGTTGCAATATCGAATTCAATGAAATTATCGCTGTCAGAAGGAGCACGTCATGCGAATCATATGTCGCCGAACTTATCGGCGTGCCGAACTTTACCTCGAATTGTGATATGCATTGTGCTGAATGATCGCGCGCGAATCGGACAGCATCCGTTTTTAATAACAGCCATCGACTGCCAAACTCTCGAGATTTCTCTCGCATATAGGTTCCTCGCAGCGTGTATCGGGATTCGAAGCTTCACAGATAAGAAAGAAAGAGAGAGAGAGAGAGAGAGAAAGAGAGAAGAGCTCGTCGATGTGTAATCAGCGCGTTTTTCGCAAACTTTTTTTTATTCCGAATTCTTTTCAGGTTCCTGGTCTCTCGTTGCAGCCGTACTGAGTTAAAGGCGAGAAACTAATTTTTTTTTTCTCGCACTGCGTATCGAAATAAATTAAATGTTTTCGATTGTAATCACTTGTGTTCAATAATTCAATACAGCTGCAGCGAGCGGAGCGGAACCTTAACGTGATGCGAGGCCGGGAGGCCGGGACGAAATCCACCAGTGCGATTTATACTTGCTAATCGTTGTTGATCCGTGCGTTAATACGAATACATCGATCTTGCTCGGTGCTGAGAAATCTGGCGGCATTACTCTTTTATGCGTTGCTAGACTTTTACGACGCGCACTTGCGTCATTTTCTCAAGATTAAAATTCTTAGATTCCGACATCGTCTTTTTTTTGTTGCGAATATTTCGCTACGGTAAGCGAGCCGGATTAGCAAGCACCGAAGGAGTTGCAAAAACGGACGTTGCTTTCCCGAAAGTAGACGAGACGAGCTCAAGGACGCCGCGAAGTTAATGTAATATTTTAAGTGAGTGAAGAGCGACGCGCGCGGGACTACTTTGTATCGAGAAACACGTTCTTTTTAATTGTAGAGAGCGAAAGCGCGAACTACAGCGAGCACCGAATATGGCCACTACTTCGTTTCGTAAGACGTATCTTGAGGATATTTGTATGTAAATGAATGACAAAACAATAAAAAGAGTATACGCTGTACGGACGTTCCCCTCCTTCATTGCTCATCCGTGCATCATATATGTAACGTAAACATGCGGGCCCGCGATGACTTGTGGGATCGCAGCGGAAATGAAAAATTGCTACAACTCACGGAACCGTAAGAGAATTATTTTTCCTTATTAAAACTGGAACTTGCTTTATACATATTGATGCGGCAAAAATAGAATCATCATCAAAGAATATAAATAGTTGAAAAAATTTCAGTAAAAAAATTGATATACCTAATTAAAAAAGTTACTACATTTGCAAATTAAAATTTTACTTTGATACTGTTTCTTCGATAATGTCTGTACAGTAATATTTATTCTTAGCATGCTATTTCTTAATAGCCTGATATGTTTGGTCGTCTCGCCACCTGGCTGTCTGATAATTATGACGGATCACGACAAGGAATAATAAAGGGAGCTTTCTTGATTAGAACAGAGGTATAGATTTCGAGTACGCGCTCTTTCACGCATATGTGTCGTGCAAATGAAATACTTACGACTATTTTTAGATTTAGACGTCATCGCGTTTACGCGCTATCTACAGCTGGAGCGAAGGCGATCGCCACGTTGCCTCTGCTTCGATGACCCGACGAAGATCGAACACCGGGGATAATCAAATTCTGATTAGGATTTTTAAACATGACGGTACGCACAATTTAATATGATTATATAATATAATAAAATCAGTGTACTTAGGTGTGGTCAGGGTCAATTTACCAATTCTGGTCGTTTAATTTTTAATCTGCTTACAAGATTTCTTAAAGATGCAGAGTTTTACGGAAATCTTATTTTCATAAAAATTAAAATTAATCTTTTCGTGTAATTTAATAAAGACCATAAAATGGACCTTAGCGGATTCTTTATTACTTCATTTTTCTTTATTTCTTTTCGTTTCTCTTATGGTTTATATTTTTATCAAACTAATTTTTGTATTATTACGATCATTTTATATTACATTATGTAGACTGATTGAAAAGAGAAATTCGATCTGAAATAATTTATAATGCGTCTTGAAAGAGCATTGAGAGTCAATGAAGCAGAATCTATTCAAAGTGGCCAGAACTGGTGGTCCGACTTTATATTTGAATTTGAAAGGGATTACGCAAGAGTTTGCGGCATGCCACGAGATAATGCACGCGAGTACGTTTACCCTACATCGATTGTCCGGCGCAATTCGGTCAAATCGCGGCCTGCTCTTGTTTTATTCAACGATCGGCTATCAACCCTTCTTCCTTTTGTTCTCCGTCTTCGATTTCAGTTCAAAATCTACGTTCTTGCGCCGGCACAAAGAGATTTATTAAATTAAAATTAATCTATTTAGGTTTACGCATAAGATCTCTTGTTATGTCTTTGATATCTCGCGTACAGTTGCAATTTATTTGCGACGATGATGGATCTTTTATTACATCACATCGGCGCGAGTTGACTCATCGTCTCCGGCACACATACATTCTTTCTGATTATATAATTATTTACCTCGTCATAACTTTATCATAATTTATTCGAACCACGTGACAGATGTTTATTGATCGTGCGTGACTTGTTATCAGAAAAAGAGATTTACAAGCGTACAAAGAAAAAATAAATAAAATCTAATATGTAGTAAAGACAGTATTCTATATCGAAAGTTCTATTTCCTTTAAAAAAATTTTAAAATAAGAAATTGATTTTTAAAAATAACTTTTATGCTTTTCTGATTTATTTTTTTTTTGTCGATTCTATAAATTTTTATATTTCTGTAAATAATATCTCACTCGTTTTTACCATGTGTATAATTTCCAAGGATAATGTAACGTGAATAAGAAGGTCTGTACTATCGTAAAAAAAAAAGGGGTCATCGTAAGTTAAGTAAAAGTCTCTGTGAATCCGAAAACAGTGGTGAGATTGTTCGGTTCCGCATTACCAATGTAAATTGATGTTCCTATGACATAGCAACGGTTATAGAAAACTGACATGTGATTATATGTGTGTTACTGTAGTAAATCTATATACATTTATGTACTTTTTATAATATTTTTCATAAAATATCTTTCTTTCTCTTTTACTTTGCACACAGCACACACATTCAAAAGACATCCAGAAGATATCCTGAAGATATCTTTGAGAGATATGATATCTTCGAAATGTCCCCCGAACGTCCCCCGGATATGCATGCTGTGTGGATTCTTCCTTTTTTCCACTGCAATGTCCGATATCTTAAATAAATGTACAAGATGTTTCACATCTCGTGTTGGTTGTTAACAATAGATTCTTTGAAGGCAATTTTTTTCTTTATCAAAGCATCTATAAATTTCAAATCGTGAACATTTGAAAACGGAGGGTTTCTTTGCAAACTAAATATTAAAGAACCAAAACTACATATATATTTTAGTCTATTTAAAATACAATTTGGCTTAGTTACAAAAATATATAACTGGAAGTTTGCGATAGATGATGACTTCTCAATATTTTTATAGAGAAAAAGCAACTGTGAATAAAAAAATTTCTTATAAAAAATGCGTGAAAAGTGGGATCCTGTATGGTTGTTTCATTTTTAGCATAGAAAGTGAACAATGCAGATCTAAAAGGAACAGACCTTATTCCACTCGTCAAGGTAACGGGCGATGATTCGTCGTGGGGTCGACCGCTGGTGTTGCGCAGCGGATCGATATGCCGCGATGCCACAACCGACGATATATAGGGCGAATCAGAAGAAACTCTTATCGCCCACCCAAAAATTTCAATATTTTATATTTTGATACAAAAGATTCGAAACTAAAATATAATGTCAAAAAAAGAGATGAGAAAATTGTCATACAATTTTCAAACCTGCATTAAAGATTTATCGGTTCGCTTCTCTAAAGTCTGATTTGTTTATTAGAAAAAATTTCCAAAGAACTTTCGACTCACACGAATAAAATAATAATAAGTTTCGGATTTCGCGATTCTTCAGCGATGGGACGTGCAACTTTAAATTATCCGATACAAACTTACCCCATGAGGGTTGCACGTGGTTCTCGAGTGCTTGAGATAAAATTTCACTCTGTAATTGGAACACAATTACTTCCAATTTGCAGTTAGAGCTAAAATACCAATTCCAGTGAAATTTGAAGACAAACAATTCTTTATTTACAAAAAAACAATTTAAACACAATTTAAACAATTTAAAGATTGCGCGTCATTTAAAGATACAAACATCAATAAATCTTGATCAATAATTTATTTTTAACGTATCAGATTTATCCTAATCGAAAGCAGAATCTTGAGGCAAAATACGTTTGTCCCGAGCTGAAGAAGTTTCAGTGAAAGTGCCTTAGGACACCCTATATTTCAAAATATGGGGTGTAACGAATAGTTTGTCCTCTCATTTCCTTTTCACGGAAGGAAAAGCGTGGAAAAGTGGAGACTACGTGACAAAGGGAGGCTTTTCAAAAGAAAAGAGCGCATTCCTTCGTGCGCATCGGAGGGGGTTCGCCCGCCGAGTCGACCAGCGCGTGTCCAGGCAGACGCCGATCGGCGGCCGATTAATCGAAAGTCAGACTGCCGCGGACCGTCGACGTCGACGCGACGCGTTTTGCTCTCTCTCGACGCCCGGCGTCGCGTAGCGTCCATTTCATGTGAGGCAGGTAGGCGTCTCCGCTGTCGTCGCATGCTCATCGTCGCTTGTGTTGTGTCGTTGCTGTTATTATTTGTTTCGCAGCACGATGGAGTGCAAAAGTAAAATGTGAATAGAACACGCCGCGTTCGAACGTGTCGCGAATCTGCAGTTGACAGTGCGTTGTTAATTAATTGATTATTAAATTAATTAATGTTATGATTGTTGAGCCGTTGAATTTAGTTTAGTGTGATTTTCGAAATGGTTTGTTACGGATAGATTTCATTGACACGACGAGAGATATCACGCCGATGAATCTGAAAGTGCGAAATGCGCAGAGTAATATTGTGCAATATTGTGATTGGCAACCTGAAAATACGATTGCATGAGTGTATAATAGAATTCTGATTCGCTTTGTTTTTCAAATCGCTTGCTACTCGGAGATCTAATTAATCTGGACATAATGCGGTTGCACTCGAGCGGACGCAATGCGCAGAGATGCTGCAGTTATGTCAAAAAGTATTCTATTTTATATTCTAATTGAGTGCAAATATTGAGAGAGAATAATAAAATATCGTTTTTCCGTATGCGCGTTAATAGTGTTGCTTGATGTTTAAGTTTTGCGGAAAAATATTATTACATTATCATTCAAACACGCCGTGTACATTGCACTTCAAACGAATGTGACAGCTGCATCACGGAGGGATGCTGCATGGCGCTTTTGCATGAATATTTTTATGATGCTTATTCAATTATGTGAAATTAACCAACGAAAATTGACATGATGTAACAGGATATTAAAAGAATCCCCCTTTATTTGCGTGACAAAAGTCGCCTTGCCCTTTGCCAGATTAATCGATACCCAGCAGCACATTTGGAGCGCTTTTATGATCGCGGAAGTATATAGTGTACAGGGTGTCCCACAGCTCACAATCTTAATAGGTTTGGCCAATTTAGAATGAGTTTTTTTAACAAAAATATTGAGGGACATTATTTGGTGATTTTCTCACACACACACACACATTTTCAACATTATACTATTTTTATAATTAACATACGTTTCAAAAATTAATATTCTAGTAAATGCAATTTAATTGAAATTTATTAAAGATCATAATTCTGCTTTCTATCTGTTCTTCTAAAATTTAGTTCACAAAAGCTCTTTTTTTTTCAATCGCTCAGAAAATCAGTGCTTTAATATTTTACTAACAAAATTGACTTTAAATTCATCAAAAAATCTATTATTAAAATTAAAACTGCTCGTTGTGGAACACCTTGTACATAAATATATATATAGTTCACCATTAGTAACCGTTACCAATGGTGATATAAAACTGACTGATAAAAGCAAAATGCATTTTCATAAGAGAATCTCAACTTTCCCCGGTCTTGAAATCGATCGATCGTTGCGTGATTGAGTCATAATTAAATTACAAATCGTCGGAGAATGCGGTTTATTAAAATGACATAAAACAGATTTTTTTCAATAATAAAAATAAATGAATGGTTAAGATTCGGTTTCCAATATTTTGGTTTTGGATATTTAATTATTCCACATTAGAAAATAAATTTCTATTAATTCTTTTCAATAGTAATACAACCACTTGTTGGAAGACCAACAAACGCGATAGGTGATACATCGCATGCAACAATTATAACGTATTACGAAACCTGCTAGAAAACTTTTAATTCCATTATCATAATTATAGTCACTCAAAAATCTATTAAAGAAATTTGAGTATTTTCGTGTATGCAAAAATAGTTGTCAGACAACGTAATTATCTATATGTTTATTTACATGTTTTAGGCCTGTAAGCATGTTTTAAACATGCGATTGTCGCTTTTCGGAATATCGACAACTTGCCATCACGTTCTCATCGACTGACGAAATCGTCAACAAGATTCTTCAAAGTTTTTATAGAAAAATATCAAGTATAGCGACTTAGCTCTAGTATCAGGCAGACAGTGATTCGCGAAGAACGGCGACGGATAAGGAGCGAACGCTGACCCGGCTACGCCGCTGACCACGGCGAAAAGCGAACGCGCACGTACTTTCCACATGCTGACGGCAGCGAGGTGAAAGTGTAACGGCGCTTGAAGCAAGGCATTCATCAGGTATCGCAATATCATTTTGCTTTTAAGACCGTTCATTAACCAATGAACGTATCGATCACGTCATTCGACGTAAAAAGAAGTGATTCCCTTGATTAAACACTGCATATTATGAATCATTGAGATCTAAAAAAAGAAAAAAAAGAAGTTAGAGAGAAAAAAGAGAGAAAATCGACAAGTGCGTAAAGCTGCTCAATTATATTTTACATTGTAAAATTACATTAAATCTTAAACTACATTAAATCATTCTATCCTTGTTTTATGTCTAATGAGCGATAAAGATAGAATGACGCAAATAGCGCTAATAGCGTCTCTCCGAACGCACCTTTAACTATTCATTTATTTTTATTATTGAAAAAAAATCTGTTTTATGTCATTTTAATAAAGTTACATTATTTGTTAATTGCTTTTGAAATTCATTTTAAAGCCAACAAATTTTGGATTTGCGATACTAAATCTCAAATAATTTTTTTTGTACATGTTATGGGAATAAATTTTTTTTTTCTAGTTTCATGTTTCATATTTTGCTTAATGTTTTTTATACATTGATATAAATTCCACGTAAAAAATGTTTAAAACCCGTTGCATCACATACAATTTTTTTTATTTTTTTATCCACCATTTAGTTTTTTGCACATTTCCGCTCTCGGAGATCATGCATAACTCTCATTGTGTTCTTCATGGCTGACCCGTTCTATTGATCCCGTTCATTGATTGACAGCTCGAGATTAAATTCAAATCACTCGTACAGTGGCGAGGATTCTTAGTAGCGTAGTCAGTAATGTTTTTTATTAAATGCTGAAATAACGCGTATTTTTCTCTTTCTCTATCTGACTCCCTCGAGCCAGGGAACATTGCAGCGGTCGAGTGATAAGACGTCGCCAAGGTTGTTGGCAAGCAATTCTCACTATTGCCGCTTGTCGTTACCTGTTATCAATTAACCACAAACAAACTTAACCACAATGATAATCGGCTAGAAATATTTACACAAAACAATGTAATTATAAAGCGTATTATTATCACCATTTAAAGAATTAGATAGCGATATTTGTATCGCAAAACTTGATAAAATATTAATAGAATTAAATTAATCTGCAAAGTAACTAATGATTTTGATTTTAATAGCATATTTTCTAAATTTGGAGTAGATTTCTTCTTAGCGAAGAAATCTCGAGACGTAAGTTTTTAAAATTATAAGTAACTGTAAGAAAGAAGAACTTTGCGCAAACTAAGTTTCAGGGAGACAAATACGCAGCAGAATCATATATTTCTTAGTTTACTCCACATGGATTTTATTCTACCTAACACAGAATTTTCGTAAGAAAAGTTGTAGTTTGCTTGAAATTTAATAACAAAATTATCTAACTAAAAATTCGAAAGTTGCGATAAATAATGATTCTGATATTTTCGGATTTCGAACAAAAAAATTCGTCGCCAAATTGATTAGAGAATCTTTCAATAAAATTAAAATTGCGAGTTGTAGAACAGCATATGTACATATATTGGAATTAAATAAAAATAAACTACATGAGATATTAATTATTGGAAGTACCATCTCTAATTATATTTTAACTATTTTCATAATTATTAATTTGAGAAGCAACACTTCATATCTTCGGATAAAAGTTGTTGCTTGTGTGAATTTGCTGGTCGCGATAGCCCGCAAGGTATATCGCATGATTGACATTACGGACATCTTATCAGTCGGCATCGGTTGACGAGTTCTCCGTTTCATAGTTTATCATACTGGGAATTTAATCTGGATCTCTTTTGTTTCAGCTTGGCCTGATCTCAGCGAGGAACACAATGCCAAAAAGGATACCAATGCTTATTAATTTAATCTCAACGCAATAAGGATTCAACTTGAAGCCTTCGACATCGTGGCCTGAAAGATATCGTGCATTGACAGCGATCAATGTGTTCCTAATTTCTCGGATTACTATTATAAATAGATAACATCATCGAGAAGATAAGTTGGTGCTACGATTAAATCGTTATCAGAATCGGGAGATTCCGAAGGCAGTGCGTGGCTTTCAAATTCAATCAATCCGAAGATCTCAATCAAATATAATAATCAAAACTTAAAAAAGTTTAAACTAAGTACACAATAACGTAAGTTAAAGCGGAAGAAAATGAGGAAAAGAAGTCGGTGCGATCTTGAAGCCGATGGCCGCATTTGATCGAACCGGTCTCGCCCGGATTCGAGGTTACTGATCTCCGGAAGCGGACGCGCGCCAGGTAGAAGACGACGGCGACGACGAGGAGGACGGACACCCAGTGTCGGGTAGCGCGGCCGGGGGAGCCCAGGGTGTATGCGCGTTTTATTAATAGCCAAGTTTCGTCGGCGTTGGTGGGGGGGCCGCCGACGGCCCGCTCGCGGGTGAAAATAGAAAAGAATGTTTTTGGAATCCAATTGGACTTGGTTGGCAGAACGATGGGGCAATATGGCCGACCTGGCCGAGCGGGTGGACGATCTGATATGCAGTTTCGACTCGGCCGGTGAGACGACCATGGATACGCTGTCGATGCTGATATTCGGCTGGATGCTGTTCGGCCTGGTGGTGTTGTGCGTCGGCAAGTACGTCTACAATCGTTTCGTGCTAAACGAGCTCACCGTCGCCGCCGTCGCCAGCTCCTCGTCCACGTCGTCGCAGCTTGGCAAGGACGGCCATCACAGCGAGAGTGTTGTGCCCGCGAGCAGTAGCATCGTCGGTAGATTCTTCGATAAGTCTAAATCAGTGTCACCGACGTCCTCGGCACCCTCGATCGCGAGGGCTGCTACCGGTAGCGCAGGTGGTGGCGGCGGCGGTACCGCCAGTGTTGCTGGTGGTGGCGGTGGTACCGCTAGTGTTGCAAGTGGTGGTGGTGGTGGTGGTGGTACCGGTGTGATAGCAGGTGCGAGATCACCGTCACCGGGTGGTTACGTGCCGCCCACGCCGCCGGTGAGGAAGCGCCTGACCAGGAAGACGTCCGGCGGTCTCATCAGCCCATCGCGCAGCTCCCGAGCGCTGCATCTGCCGACCGCGACCGGCGCCGATGCAGAGGCCGTGCGCTGGGTCAACGAACTCATTGTCTGGCTACACCACGACCTCGTCATCCTGAACGAGCTCCTAGCCGTCTGGGTGGCCTCTCTCAACGACTTTACCGCCAGCTCCACTGACGAGGTGATTGGCACGCCAATTTTGATCCATTTTAACCGGGTCGAGGTCTTGCTCCGTTATGCAAAAACGGCGTTGTATCAGAATAGCAAGCGTTTTCTAGGCTCTGACTAGGTTGGAGATTCGAAAAGGCTGATGCTTTCGGCAAACTGATGCTAAATTACTAAATAAATTTGTTCGTTTATAATTACTGCGGAGTATATGTCCTCGTAAAACATAACATGTTGCAATTGTTGCGGAACTTTGCGCGACTGGTCACGCTCGATAAGGCGAGATACGAGCTCCTCTCAAGGCGTGGGTGACTCCGGCGAAGCAGTGGAGAGAGAAGGGAATGCGTTTGTCTGCGTGAGAGTTTGTGTGTCGAGTGGGTCGAGTGGTGACTCTTCTTGCATATGTCGCGGCGCGGTTACAACAAAGCGCGGAGAGCTTGTTTCGACATGTTACGAACTTTTGCCCTCAATTATCGACACGCGCTCTCCTCAGCGACAGATCGAGCGAGCGTGGGACTCCGCGATTTGATAACAACTGCCCGAGTTCCGAACTGTCTAATGCAATTGCATCGTCCAACATTTTACGCGCTCGGAATTACGGGCACCTTTCCAAATCTCACTGTTGTTCGATGATTCATCTGGCGAGAAATGAGAATAGCATTGTCGATTGGCGGAAACTGGACGTGCCCTCAATCGCTTCATCCGCGTCGAGTCATTATTGCAAAAATCATTGCTGCTGCGTTTTGTCTTCTCTCTTTTCTCCGTAAACAAATTAAAAGCAATTAAAATGTCATTAACTAACGATACGTTGTGAGCTTCAATTCCATTCAGCTAACATTCGCCTCGACGATTATAAATTTTACAGTAAAACAATGTAACTAGTATCTGGTATATTTAACACTGACCGCGTAACATCTCTTCGCGGAGACACAGTGCTGAATGGCCATTTGTATGGATAAAGATACATCAAAGATCGCTGGTGTATAAAAAGGCTTAATGGTTCGGTGCTGTCCTTGCCACGTGTAACCGATGTCGTCATTTCGCTGGAATAACTTAAATTTCGTCAGAGAGTTGAAGCGATTTCTGGCTTGACTTAATTGTCGACGTATAAAGCGTATATTATAGCATATATAGTACATTAATTATTTTTATGTATGCAAAATTTATTTTATTGTTACGTATTATTATTTTTATCGAAATTATTTCTCGTATTATCTTTATCACACTATCATTAAAACTTGAATAAGTATTATGACGCTTCGTAATGGATTTTGGTAAAAAATTAATTTTATTAATAACTATACACCATAAAATTAAAGATGTACAAACTTCATTAATTGCTCTGGACATATCGAAAAATTGGTAAAAAGATGTATTTAGTTTAACTGATAATCGATAAAATCATATACCTAAACTATGTTTTAATTCAGCATAATTGGCATATCGTTGCATGTACAAGGATTGCTCTCTGGTTATGAGTTTAATTCTGAATATGAATATGCAAACAAGTGGTATCGCGTAACGTGGCGATTGCGTGTCGCACAAATGCAGCAGTATAATTAGTGCGCGTGTGAAAAAGTGTTGATAGCTTCATAGCTGTGTACAGAAAGATCCACAATTCGCGATCTTAGTTTTATTAGTCAATTCTTCAATTATAATTTTAAACAAATCTTTCTTCAACATTTATTATTTATAAATATTGAGATTTATAAATCATCGAAAATCTCTTTTATTTTAATCGTTTACAATTCGAAAACTATAGTCGTTAGATATTGCTTTTAGGGAAAAGTTAACTTAAAATTGATCAAAAAATTTGTCATTGGGATTAAAGTTGCAAATTGTGGAACACTTTATATATTCTATCAATCGACGTAATGGCAATTAGATGTTTGCGTATGTTTCAGCACGGCGTCGGCGTCGAATTCGTCCGCGTTCTTCCGGAAACGAATCCGCCAGTCTTGTCGAATATCTTTTTGCGAATGCGACTCGAAAAACGATGTGGTATGTAAACATTCTTTTCCTACTTATGTTACAATTTCATATTTAATTCTACAAATTCAAACTTGAAAGACCAGCAGTGTCTTTTTAAAATATCATAATTTCAATATAAAAAAATTTGGATTAAATCATCATTGTTTTCAGTTTGCGTAAAAAGTTTCATGTTAATATTCGGTTTATTACATAAATTGTTATTAAGTAGTTAATAGCAACAAGAATTGTAAAGTACGTAGTTGACAAATTAATATTTAAAAATCAGGTACGATTAATTATACGAAAGAAATACTCTTTTCACATCTTTAGACTATCACATGCGATTGCGAAGCCACTCCGGCTTTGCAATTGAAAGCATTTCGGCAACGAGGCGACAAGGTGGAGGTCAATCACTATCGGGTCAACGTCAATCGCTTCCGCGCTCGTCTCAATGTCGTTTGCATCACCGAGAAGCTGCTGGTGGATTTGAAATGCGACGGCTGGCCAGAGGTGCGTGGTGATTTTCCGCTAACAACGGATTTCCCGCGTAACGGAACGATATGCGGAAACTTCCTATTCCGTTTTCTATTATCGTACAATCACGGCTTTTTATCGCTCATCTATAACGTATAACGTATTTTTATATAACCTTCATCGTTTCGCACCGATGAACGGGGAAGAACAACATTAAAAATTCTTTGACGTATACTTTGTAACGTTCTTGCGGTTAATAAACATTTGAAGAGCTGATAAACAATTATTGATCAGCGTTTGATGAAATCATATTAATTGTTACTTTACGCATCAGGTAAAGATTTCTCTGGCCGCGGTGGGCACAATAAAGAAAGACCTGGACGAGAGCCAATTGCAAGAAGTGGTGACGGAAATTGTGGTGGGTGCTTTGCGAGGCACCAACGTTCACCTCAATCTTTCCCAATATCCTACCTGTCCCCGATTATGGAGGGAGCCGCCTCCTCAGCCAGGATTCTCGTATCCTACGCATTACGACAATGTGGTAAGCAATCGTCAGGTCTAAATGCGTTTGAATCCCGTTTGCAGATCATTTATTTTCTCAATGAAATACTAAAGTGCAATACACCAAGTGTTAAATTTATATACAAACATAAAATTCTTACTGTACTCTTCAAGAAAATTTATACCATTCTCATGCCAGTGCGTCAAATGTAATTCATTTTTATCGAAAGAATAATGTTTCTCTAATGAATTTATTATGCCGTTATTGTCATTGTTGCATGCTGTGATACGCTTCGTCTTACAGAACGTCTCGAATTCGATGATACACCAATCTTCACATCCACGTCTTCAGGGACACACCGCGCCGTCGCCGGCACCGATGCAATATCTGCCTGGTGAGAGGCGGTTGCTCGTGAAGGTCGTAAGGGCTACGGATCTCGGCGGTCAGCGCGGAGCTTTCGAGCCCTACTGCGTGGTTGAATTGGATGAACCGCCGCAAAAAAATCAGACTTCCATAAAGAAAGATACTAAAAATCCACTGTGGGACGAGGCCTTCTTATTGTGAGTTCATGGAAATTTTGATCTTTTATGTATTTATTCTGACATAACAATTTTATTCTAAGTTTTAAATTTTTTGATCAAAAAATTGTATGATAAAAAGATAACGACGAATAATTTTAAGAAAAATAATACACCATTTAAAATTGTGTAAGCTTGATTAGTCCTTCTGAGAAATCTATACTCTTGTTTATTATGCAAGATATCTATGTAAAAGAAACTAAGTTTTAATATTGTATTTGTAGCGATATAAGTCACAACACAACCGAGGTGTTATTGGAAGTGTTTGACCGTGTGAATAGAAGCCAAAGATTTTTGGGACTTGGAATCGTGGGCGTCGAAGAACTGCTCGCGAATCCAAGCCAGCGGCAGATCATACCTCTTCAAGCGCGACCGTACGAGGAAGATGATATTACGGGTACCCTGACAGTGGAGGTAATTGTTTTAATTTATTTTAAATACAAGAGATATTGCCGCGATGTAATAATTTTCGAAAAATATTTTTACAAGCGTGCATTTAAAAAAGAATCATCTTTTTTCAAAGTATCTATTGCTAAAAATATTTCTCAAATTGTTGTACATCGCTGTAGATTTTTGAAATCTATATACACTTTATATTTTTTAATTTTAATAAGTTCTATTTTTTTAACACATGAAGCGTTTCCAAAGTTCTAGGAATTTTGTTTTAAATTCTGTAATTTTTCAATTTTTGTCTATGCAACATTATAGTTTTACTGTGAAACTAGCGTGAAACTAGTTTTTTCAAGTCTCTTTCATAAAACTTTTGTTAAGTATCTCTTATTCTTTCATAGCACGTTTAATGAAATCGCACACTATGTTTTTTCGACTCAGGAGACAAATGAAAATCGCTAAGCTTACTAATTTGGCGAGTAGTATTTACAGCGTCTTCTGCATTTTCAATATCAACACCTCAGAAATATATCTATGCCGTTTGGCTTGACGGCCAAACAATACTGATTGCTATTGGCCGGCATCGCGAGACAAATATGTCAAAACTTATCTATGTATGTAAATATTGGTCAACAGTCTTTTGTTTTTGAGTCAGAACGCAATTCCCAGAACTTCAGAAACGCCACCTTGCAATTCTCATTATCTCGCACTATTTTTGTATTTGTTCTGCAGTTTCTATTCATCGAGGGTGCGGAGGTGCCACAAATCGGGACCAAGCCTTATAAAGTCAAGGAAGCGATAAAGCCGGTCTCGCCGACTCGTTCCTACAGCCAGCAGAATGTCATCAGCAGCAATAGTCTGAATTACAACAATGGTAACAGTACACTTATCTTGTACGACTCTGCCGCGCAGTCGGAAGGGGGTAATTACCGATTACTTTATCAGGCGTGTGATGTGTGTGAACACCCGATATTGGTTTTTCTCTCATTAGTACAGTAACTTTTCTTTACTCGCCCTCTAGTTTAAACGACAAGTATCCTTGTTGTTCGTGAACCAGAATCGAACCCTTTAGTATGAGAGCGCATTTGTTAAAAAATTATGCATTGTTTATCGCACGTCCGAAACCGATCATCCCCCGACGTAGTTTGGCATGAGAGCGATTATTAGATTCTCATCTCCCGTGCGCAGCATCACGAATATAGAATGCCACCCGAATGCAATCGAGCGCAAGTACCTGTAAGATAACTTATTTACCAGAATCGACTAGATATACAGAGCGTCCAAAAATCGTTCTTTATTTATTATTTTCTAACTTTTAAATTGCTCACAATTAAAAAAAAAAACGGTTAAAAATTGATAAAAAAATTAGATGAAATGCAGGAATCTGAGACATTCTGTATAAGTCGAATGATAGATAAACGTAGAAGTTCTGGCATTTAAAATAAAAAATTAATGCTTTTATATAGGAATAGTCACAGAGAGTCGTAGATTTGTAGATTTCACTGAATTTTGGTGACAATGTACCCTGAATTTTATTAGAAAAACATTTTTGCAGACTACTTAACAAACGGCAACGTCGTGGATTCACCGTACAAAAGTGGGCAAACGAACGGTAACAAGGGAACCTTGATTGTACACAGTCAGCAGAGGGTAAGCTCGTTAAACGACTAAAACCAATTTTTACTGCATGCACATAACACTCGCGTGAAATGAAGTTACGAATAACCAAACAAGTCAGTGGTGGATTTGTATAAAAATGAGCGAAAGACGAAAATACTCCGTGCGCCCATACAATCATGAAAAATCCTACAGAATAATTTTATTCGGAAGTATTTCTTTTTCCAAATATTTTATCAAAAAAGAAAATATGATATTATTAAAAATAATTACAGATAGTAAAGTGTACAATTTATATTACATATTTTATATAATTTTATAATTGTTACATAATTATTTCATCGGTTTGGACATTACTTATTTTGAATCTCGGAAAATAATCTGCTCTAACTGTCGGGAATTTAATTCGTCCCTGACAAACATTATCTTTGCGATTATTATGGTTTCTGCTAAAGCATGATTTTTGTTTGATTTCTTTTACAGCAACCGGAGCGACAGGTCGTGAAGGTAAGAAACACTCGATGTTAAACTGTTCGTATTTCAATCAAAATATAATTGTTTTTCACCCACATAACGCAAAAAAAAATATACATCTCGAGATAGCTCTTTCAATGATGACGCAACTTGAGAGACGTCTGGCACGCTAAAGCAAAGATTGGCAAGCGAATTCGAAGAGTTTGTCATTCGAAATGTCGGTTTTCATATTTCAATTTAACTTTAACATTGAACATTTGTTTCATGAGAGACTTAACCGTGTTTGAGTGCTGTGTATTACTAATGTAACAGGTCGCTCTGACGCACAACGGAAACTGGCAAGAGATATCCCCGGAGGTAAGCGAATCCACAACATTTTCGTTTCGTTAAACTTCGAAATTTTATAATGATTGCGATAATTTAATTTTATATTTTTTCTTTAAATTTTGAATGCAAATTTCTTGCAGCACGGAACGAAAGATGTCAGCGCTACCTCGGGACCAGAGAGCACGCCTAATTCCTCTAATTCAGAAGGTAAGACTGTTATACAAGCTGTACCAAAACTCAGATATTCTTTTAACATGGATTTTTCATTAATTTGGAGTCAATTTTTTCTCAGCAAAAATGTCGAGGAAATTCGTCATTTATTGCATCTATAATTAATTAATTTGTCAATAAATTGAATTAAAATTTCATTAACTGAAAAATATGACTTTGTTCTTTGTTTGTTACTAAAACTAAACCCTAAAATTTAATTCGCGTGAAAAGTTCTTCTTTCTCAATTGCTCATAACGCCGAAATATCGATACTTTGACATATTTGCTGAAAAAAAATTGACATTAAATTAATCAGAAAATCTACTATTAAAAGGGTATCTTCGAGTTTTGTGACATTTTGCATAAGACCTAAAATACTCCTATAATATTTACGAAATTTATACTAAAATTATGTTTTTAAAATTTGATGCAAAAATATCCTATTTGTAATGTTATTCCCAAGTATCTCGCAGATTCTCGTGATGAATTTGCAAAACCTAACAGATATCCTGATACTTTCACAGAAAGAGGAAGGACTCGGAGGAAACGACGCGATTTCTTCGGTACTATAAAGAAGCGATTAAGTCGATCCAAGACGAGAAGTAGATCGGTAGGTCCCGAAGGAGAGATCAATCATGAGGATGCTCATTCGAGATCCATATCCGCCGATAGAGCTCGCGATCCCGGATCCGGTAAGATTTCAATATTATTTTTCTTCAATATTCTTTGTCTCATAAATTAAAAGTGTGTATAGAAATGTGCGATTGTTAAAAATATACATTTTTCAAATTAATTCATTTAATCGCAATCGATAGAAACTGCTTATAATCTAAATCGTAGATTATTGTCTTTAGTCTTATCATTTCTCAATTGTACTCACCTGTGTGCACACTTTGTCTTGCTCACACATATGTGTATCACTTTGGTACTCAACTTTGGTAAGTGTCTTTGTAAAATAGAATGTAGTGCAAGAACTTTGCTTTTTAGAAGTAGGCAAAACCGATAACATCACATAGCATTAAATACAATTCAGAAATGCTCTATTGTACTTCTAGACAATGCAATTTACAATTCGGAATTGATAAAAATTACAACTCGAAAATACGCAATCATTATCTTTATCTTTACAACTCATTACATTTTTTATAAATAAATAAAATAAATAAATTTTTATTTTATCTTTTTGTCTTTTAATTTATTATTATTTATGTATGTTATATGTATATTCTGCAGTTGCGAAATAGATGTGAATTTTTATATCGGTTGTGCCTAATAAAATCGTGCAATATTTTTATTTCTTGATAGATTGAGCGAGTACAATAGATTTAGCAAGTATTATTCAAGTATAGCGGATATTGTTTGGCACACGAATTATCTTAAAATAGAATTGAACACATTTGATTTATGTTTCTTTTTCGGCCTTTTAACTAGCGTTTTTTTTTTGTTAACGAGTTAACTCTTTTTCGTAGAGCATTTGTCGGTGCCAGAGCAATCGAGACGATCGAGTCTAAGTGAAGCCTCGGGTATAAGCGGAACATCCACGAGAACTTATGTCAATGAAGCCTCCACGCTCGTTCTGGAGACTTTGGAGAACGGTATAAAAAAGTAAGTAATCTAATCTTTATATTTAAAATAAAGTATATTTTTATATTTTATTATACTAAAATAAAACCTATATTTTCTTAAATTTTTAGACACTACCTCGTACCTCTTTCTCTCGCACAAAAGAGCAAATGGAGAAAAAAGGGCACAAAGTTGCACATATTTAATGATCACACATTTATCGCCAAACACATGCCTGGGTGAGTAATATTATTTTAATTTAAAAAGAAATGCATAAAATAAATGTGCCGAGTGCACGCGTTTATTGGAAAAATTGTTATGCATATATGTATACCAACAAAAAAAAAAAATGGTATCAGAAACTAGCGCTAATTGAAAGCGAAAAATAAAATGTTAGCTTAATAATAAATCTGCGTATTAATTGAAATAAAAAATGTATCCAACAACTGTTTCAGAAGCGTAGCTCCTTTAGCACAGAGCTCAGCTCAGTTTTTACTAGTTATGTCCGAAATTTGTGTTGATAATCGATCATTATTGGTCGATCGTATCAATGTTGTACGAAACCACGAATTTCGAAGGTCCAATCTCAACCATGGGATTTATTAACACTAGAACTACCGACGATTAATATATACCAATTTCTATTTCTTTTCTCTTTCTTTTCTAAAAAGAGATGAAGAGAAACAGCACATTAATCCATTTAATCATTTCACATATTTATTAATCAAAAGTTCTAGTATGTTAAACCTTTTTCAAATAAATGTAATAACAATATCAAATATAAAATACAATTGCTTGTCTCAAAAGAACGCTTGACTTTCAGAGGAACAGTCTGTGAGGTATGCAAGAGAACTCTCGCGCGAAGACTCGGCAAACAAGGCTACGAGTGCAGAGACTGTCAGATGAAGTGTCATAAGCATTGTCACGTGAAAGTCGAGAGAACGTGCCCCACGTCCACTATTCAGAGTATCGAGCTGTAAGTATCGCAAGTCTTAATGTAACAAATGTAAAAACTAAATTTATTCAAATTATATAAGATAATTGATTATTACATTAAAATTAATATTATGTATATATTGTATATAGTATTGTATATTTAATGTTACAAAATTTGTGAGATTATATATGAAACACATACTAAGTACAATTTTTAAAATAAGAAAATTTAATTTGTTATATTTTTTACATCAAGACTTATAAAAATTCAATTTTTTTAAATTTCTTAAAATTAAATAAGTTAATAGTTCATGAAAAATAATTACTGAAAATTATTATTTAGATAATATCTTCGAGTTGTTTTAACGCAACTTATTTTTTAATTAGGAAAATTATATTTTTCTTAACTAAATATCTTATTAAATTTCAATAAAAATTATAGAATTTATTTGAATTGAAAAATATTCGAAGTGTTATTATAATTATGTGTTTGTTCATATTTTAATATCACGAAAAATCATTTCTTAATACTGCTTTTCTGACATTTTTGTGGCGTAAGGTCCCTTCTGCCAGTACTGAGCGAATAGGATAGGTAAGAATTCGAAAAAAATGAGTGAATTTTCTAGTGATATACATTAGATCGCGCATGAGGAAATGCCTGTTCCCGGTAGATAGATTGTCATCTGGACTTGTTGGATAATTTGCTTGCGAAAATCCCGCTTGCTCCTATACTTTGCTCAAACTTTTCGTCCGTTTGTCTATTATCTACTGGGATTGATCAATTAGTATTTTCTCCCGAGGTGTTATTTTCAATAAAGCATGATTGAATATATGATTATACTTCATTTTCTTCATCTTGTATAAGATACAAAATTCAGAAGGTAATCATTAAATATTTGCGATCTTTTTTTTTAGGTACGTGCATCAAGGCGCCGCCACTCGAACGAAAGCCCTCTATGCTCCTCTGCTCGCGATAACGTTGTCGCTTCACACGTTTCGCGACACGTTATACGCTTTGGACACGACATACGATTTATTTTATAACATAAAACGATCATAACGATAATTTGTTCACATTTGTAAACGTTTCACGCTTCACATTTAGGTTCTTCCATTTTTCGAAACGAAAAGATAATTTAAGCTGTAACATTCGTCGATATTTTACAAGTACCAAGTCGTCTCGCGAAAAGACACCAAGTTTGCATTTACGCAAACATGATTAAATCCTAAACGAGCAGTTACAACGCGAACGTTTATTAAATTTAATTTAAGATACGCACTATTACTACGAATCTCTATTCTGTGAAAAAGTATGTAAAGTAGCAAAAAAATCAAATAAGAATTTTTTTGACAAAAATTATATACAATTAAATTATTAAATTAAATCTTTAAAATATGAAAAATTAAATTATGCAAATCTAATTCCCGTCTATTTTATTTTATTTGCTGATCTTTCGCAGATTATCGATTATTATTATTACACCTTTTGACGATAAGCGACGAAATTGAAATTCGAGAAATGTGTAATTAAATAATGTGCGTAACTTAAAGGATATTCCTGTAATCTGTATTGCTTCCTTGAGTTTCTTATCCTAATTGTGATGTACTTTGTCTCATTGATCGTTAAATAACACGATTAATTACATCCGAAAATCATTAAATCAAATTCGCACTGATTCCAAGAAAAAAGAACCAAAGACGCAATACTATGGTTAAATAATACTCTGCAGATAACAGATGAACTGGAGCTGTGAGTCTTTCTTAATTCACCTGTTATCGTTGCAATTCATTGATAGCCGTGCAAAGTAATTAATAAAAATAACGATGTTAACAGTAAATAACGCTACTCACAATAACAACTGTTATGATAGTAACCACGCGAGTAATATTAGCTGTAACAACAATAGCAGAAAGTAACGACAAAAGTCCACCAGATTATCGCATCTAATCGAATTCTACTTAAGTTTCAGTTATGTTTAACACATGCATATGACAACCATGTACCTGTATAGTTTTGCCTTAATGCAAAAAAATTGCGTCTTCTAAATCTAGTTGCATTATCTGAGAACGACGAGAAACCGCCTTATTTCTGTTACCACGTAACACGCCGACGAGATGCGAGTCAATTTAATGAAAATTTTGTCGAACGTACGCGTGGACGCAGATTAATACAGATCGAGATAATCGAAAACGGTAAGTGTTTATGGTGCAATTCAATCGGTGATGTCAGAAATTTTTTAATGAGAAAAATCTTCAATGTTGATTTGTATACTTTTTATATTTTTTCGCGTAACAAAGAAATGTATGAAAGTTAGCGTATCAGATTTTTCAAATATGTTATATGAGTAATAATATACTTTACTATTAATAATTCCATTATCCGCGATATTTTGTAAATAATATTAAAATCCTTTCGACTTAGTGCGTTTTTTAATTATCGATTCAATTGCGAAGTGCAATTAAACTGCAATAAATAAATCACGAAAATCAAAAAATGATCAAAAATGCTTATTCATAGTTTTGTCGATTATTTCATTCGATATTTTATACGAATTGAATAAAAAACATCTTCTTTGAATGCTAACCAATGAAGGATGCATCGCAAAAATACTAAATCGCTAAGATGAATAGTGTGCTTAGATTTATATATCTTGCTATACATGTATAAAAAATATTATCGTAGTACAAAATGCAATCAAAAATGTACGCAGTAGATCAACGTCGGTTGCCTAAACACGTAAACAGTGTATCGATATGTCGATACATTTATACATACAGATGACTTTAGAAGTCGAGAAAAAGTTTCTGCGGAAAAGTCTAATGATAAAAGTCATCATAAAAATATTCTTTTTTCATTTTTACTTCTGCAATCTGAAGAAAAATTACGAGTAGCTTTACAACAATTTTCCTAACTACCCTAAATAAAAAAGAATTGCAATTAATTGTAAGCTACTACACGGCGAGAAAAGATTTGCAAGCGCAGCATATTATATTATCATAGTAAATATTGTTAATTTTTATATAAATAACAAAAAGATTGAAAAATTTTAATTTTGTCGATTAAAAATAATTTTGTTAAATCTGCAAATTTTACTAGAATAATATATTATTTTGCTGAAATAGTGAAATTTGTATTTTTTTTTATTTAAAATTGTTTTAATTAAATATGTTTAGCAGAAAAAATTTTTGTTTCCAAATAAATTTATCCAGTGCGATTCTTCAACAAAATAGATTTTGCTACCAATATCAAATGATGATAGTGACATATAATTGTTTTCACGTTGCTTTCGCATATGCAATAACAACAACGGTTTTACTGTAACAGCAACATCCTCTTTCTCTGTGTAGTAAATTCCGTCGACCAGTCAGCGAACAAATAATGCTGACCGAAAAGCAATCTCATAAATAAGTACATGTATTCATCAATCGAATGCGCACATACATAGGTAAATTGAAATGATACAGGCAATTATTAGAACCGAACAGCGCGTGAGTTCGATTTTTCCTGTATATACAGGCTGTGAAACGAGTCGAAAGTCGTGGAGTGCATTTTGCACGTGGGTTGTACTTACAAACGGATCTGGTCATTTCCGGCTTTAGACGGGAAAGAAAGAACCTTCTTTCTAGAGGACTAAATTAATGAAAATTTTTCATTCAACAAATTAACACTAGAAGTACCGGATAAAAATAATGCAGGAAATAACTACTTCTAGAATTGTTCTAGTAATAGAACAAGATAAGTAAAAAGCTAAAATTTAAAATATCAAATATTTGAAATAAATATAATTTATTTTTAAATCGATAACATTAAACAACATGGAAAAAAATCAAAAGATCTTCTTGCGGTACTTCTAGTATTAAGATCAGGAATTATATCTAATCAAACATAATATATTATATATAATACAATAATATAAGGAAAAAATATATAAAATTAGGATTAAAAAAAAACTTAGGATGTCCTGCAACTTGAGACGTTAATCTTAATAACAGTCTCCCTTCAATCTTTTCTAGATTTTTCTTATCAAAAATGTTAGGAACAGTTATTATTATTTATCGCAATTTTCGATATCATATGTCTTTATAACTAAAAATAAGGTTTAAATTAAAATCTTGTTAAAAAAATTTGTCCAAAATTAATTCAGCAATATTTTTGTTATCTCTCTCATTCTAAACCTTTAGTTTTTCTAAAAATTCTCTTCTTTTTTTAGTTGTAATTTGAAAACGCTTGTAATTCGAATACTCGAAAAATATTGATGCTTTGATACTTTTAGAATTTCAAATATTTTTAGTAAGAAAAAATCGATCCAAATTCATCGGCGCATCTGTTATAAAAATTAAAGTAGTAAATTGTGGGACTTTATGTTTAATACGTAGATTCCCAAAATATTTTATTCATTATATCTGTAAATGATTTTGATTACTTTACATATTTTCCTAGGAACACGCTATATCAATGACATTTTTCCATATAGAAATTTTCTGAATCTTTCAAGATCTGTCTCTGTCTACTTGTGAGTCTGTCAATCGTAGATTATAAATCCTATTTCTGGTCATACGTAACTTTTAAAGCGCTTTATAAATACGAACACCTCTTTGTCAAGAATTTTTACACAATTGACCGTATTCTTTAAGAGCACCGCACAATTGCGTAATCGAAAGTACAACGATATGATTCTACGTAGCAATTTATTGTTAAGATCATTATTAATGCACGACAGATAATTTCTTCCTCGCGCGTTCGCTCTGCAACACGCACGCATCTCCGTTCTCACTTCCTTCCGTTTGTTCGCCGAAAAAGATCGCGATCATGTATTTATTGACGCATCGAAAAGAAGAAAATAATTACAAGGCGTTGACGTTAAAAAGCGTGTAAGCGATGACGATGATTGTGCCTATAACGAATGTTGTTACGAAATAATAATAATGTTATACACTTGTCACACACAAGTCGAAAGTCTATTTATGGACTACGGTATATTTCCGATTGTTCCGCAATAGCTTCTTATATTCTCGATCCAACATCGATCGTATCTCTATGTACGTATAATATGATATAAAGAGACCATGACGATGTCGATTATTATGCATTGCCGATTTATAATAATAATATAATAATTATAGTTATGATATATATATATATATATATAATGTTATTATTAATATAAATTATAATGGATGATGATGATAATGGTATAATGTAATGTTACAGAAAGTAATATATTGTGATCTTACAACGTTACATCTGTCTGTTCAGAATTTGCGCCACCCAACTTTGATTCGAGCAAAATTAAAACAATTGCGGACATTTCGAGATCGATGGAAAATGTAATAAAACTGCGACGCGGTCATAAATCGCGAGCCGAACGATCTTTTGTCAATTCCTTTTGATAGCAAAACTTTTTATTGAGAAAAGAAATATTTTATTTACACATTTCCTTAACTTTTTTGAGAAAATATTTGTATATTTCGATTTATTTTTGTAGAATTTATTTTTTACTAAAAAATCTAAAGTCTAAATTTTTTATAAATTGTATATGATTATAGCAAACTCTATGCTTCCGCATCATTTTCACATTTCTGTATTTATAAGGAGACAAGCCTAGCGTTCGTTACACTCTGCCTGACTATCAGAACGCGTGTGAAAAAAGAGAGCCAGCATTGCGAGGCTGTCATGCAAATCAAGTCATTTTCGAATTGAAACTACTTACTTAGTCAATGTTTTACACTTTTTTAATAATTAGTCCTCGATATTACAACTAAAAAACGAAATTAGTTTCATATGTTTCTCTTTCGGCACGTTTGCAAATGCACGTGATCGCGATTATTGTTGCAAACGACAATCTCGATAAGGATTCGACGAAAATGTTACCTCACCGATATGGATTCGCTTATCAAAAGACGATCGATTGCAATTAAAATATTGCCGATGCAGGATCACGTTTCTACAAACTTTACTCAAAGATTGCTAATTGTAACGTTGAAAAATATAAATAAATAATAATAAATAATATATCTAAATACATGTATATTAAAAAGTGAGCAAAATTTCAGAATTGGCATAAAATAAAGTATTATTCATAAAATATGGAGTAGATTATTGTTAACAAAATATTGAA